TGACAGTTTTGGTGTGTGATCTGTGTTTTTGGTGTGTGTGTGGGTGGAGCTTTGCAAGTGTTGTCATTGGAACTTAGAGAGATGAAATGGGTGTATTTATTTAATTAGAATTTGAAATATTAAAAAAAAAAAATTTAATAATCTAATATTTAAGTTACATTATAATATCTCAAATATGAAACTTTTTAAAGTTTTTTTATTATTTAATTAGAAGTCTACAAATGTTAAGTTTGGAATTGAGTTGATATCATATATATATATTTTTAAATATGAGACTTTTAAGATTTTTTGATTTAATTAGATTCTTGAAAATGTATTTTTTCTAAGGAGTATCAATAGTGTTTTCGTTTCCCTTTTTATGTGACTCGAAATCATAACCTATCGGTTATAGGTGAAGCGTCTTACCAGTAAGTGATTCTTAAAAATGTTAAAGTCATGAGTTTCATGACTTAAAAAATTAATAATAATAATAATAATAATAATAATAATAATTATTGGTGAAAAAAAAAGTATGTGGAGAGTAATGGTTTGCTGTCTGTAGTCGGAAAAAGACCGAGACAGAGATCAGCGCACGCACGGGAAAAAAGAGCCGTCACACGTGGAGGGAAGCCGCATCCGCACACGAGGGAGATTTTATTCTCTCTTTTATCTATTTTTTTTATTTATTTTATTAGTATGTGAATTGGGTTGCTGAATTGGATATTGATTTTATTCCAATGTGGGTTGAATTGACGGATATTTAGAAGCCCGACAGCTCACGTTAATTTCTGTCCAATGCTGGCGTATACAAAATACTCTAATGAATTGAAAAATAAATATAAAACTATCAATGTGTATGTGTGCCAGTGTGTGTGAAAAGGTTGATTGAGAGAGAAAAAAAAGGTCTTGGTAAAGTTTGCCTTTTCAAGTAAATAGTGCACTTTGAGTGAGTTTGTGTGTTGTTTACTTCTAATTAGTAATGTACTTTGAGTGTGTGTGTGTGTGTGTGTTTTCTTGTGACAGTTCTTATTTCACAAGTCATCTGCGTCTTGTGGTAAAAATGTGGAATTATAAATGTAGATTTGATTAGGAAAATATAATGATCGAATTTTATGTGAAAACTATATTAATAAAACATTAAATAAACATTAAATAAGTGAATGAAATAAGGCAAAATTTTATTTT